TTATTAGTTGTCTTCAGATTTGGAAAAACTTACGATGCACTGTACCTATATTGCTTTGATCTGCATATTTATTTTATTTTTACTATCTTATCTACAAGTTCACTTGTGAATAAGAGTTCAAAATTCTCCACCGGGTCATCTGGTGTTACAAACTCATGGACACCTGGATCACAATGAAAGTTTTCATGGACAACCTAATACAGGTTTACTTTTTGTCCTGTGATAACTTTTATTTTTGCTGCCATTTGCTCTCTTTTACAAGTTGGAACAAAAGAATCAGGCTGGTTCCAAGTTGGAACAAAAGAATCAGGCTGGCTAACAACACTTTCATTGATTTCATCAATTGACTTGCTCATAACATCATTGTTGTACTCTTCAGTGAATATATCTATCACATCAAGGTCACTATCATAAAAATCTGAAATTTCATTGTCACTTTCAAGCATTATATAAACATTATCCTCTGTTGAGTTCAATTTTGCATCACAAGCTTTTTTTTTTTTTTATAACTTTCCATTTTAAAACAGTGTTTACTAAAATTGAAAATGAATCAGTTAAATTTATAGAAAAAAAGCCATTATGAGCTCAAAGTTTCCTTAGAAGAATGTTCTAAAAAATAGGACTGGTTTCACTGCTTATGGGTATGTATTGTAAGTGTCACTCTTTCTCAAACAAATATTTGCATATAAATACGTCAATGCCATTTTTCAAGAAGTTTTGTCATATATATTGTCGCATATATATATGTCATTGACGGTTAAGGGGTTAACTGAGTAAACCTTGCCATGTTTGCAGTCTGTTTAATCAATTGTCCATAAGATTTGCTTTACTTTTTCTATTTTTATATCAAGGATTGCAGGGATGGCAGGAGCTTTCTTTGGTGTTTGAGGTAACTTTCAGACATGTAGCAAGCTTTGAACTTGTTATTTTTATGGCTACATTAAATGAGAATAATTCATAAAATAATACTAAAAGACTGACCAAACTTTCGAATTGATACCCCTCATTTTGGGGAGGTTTAAAACATTAAAAAGTTATTACTTTCATGCATTTTTATTGGGTATAAGCATACACATACTGAAGTTTAAGTTTGCTCCATATATGAAATGTTACCTCAAACACTAAATAAAGCTGTAGTTGCTGAAGATAAAAATTGTTTTGTAAAATTTTTTTGATCTTTCCTTGCTCTTATTATCACATGATTGAAGTATTGTCACTAAGGTGATCTAAATAAAGATCATTGATTATCTATCAGCAGATTCATCTTTATTCAGATCTTTATTCAGATAGATTTATAAAAAGCATATAGTATTAAGTTGTTTGTTTGTTGGTTTTTTTTTTTAGCACGCTTATATCTATTGCCGTATTAGAGTAATATATTGGAAGATTCATTTGATAAAGAATTTCTGTAATATATATATATATATATATATATATATATATATATATATATATATATATATATATATATATATATATATATATATATATATATATATATATATATATATATAATGGATTATAGTTATTTTGGAGTTGTATAGTTGAACAAGATTTGTTACAACAATTATAAGTAAAAAAGCATTGTCATTAGCCCTCTTGTCTGTAAGGACTACTTTTGGTCTTGGCAGGTGAATACAGTAATTATTGTTATAAAATAACTGGATATTTATATTAAGTTGTCCATTTATCCCATAACAGTGTTGCAGATAGTTTACTATATTTTTACATCCTTTTTTGAACATTTTACTATTTAATTATCTACTCATTTGTTTAATTCAATTGTGAAGTTCTTCACAAGCATAAAACCTGTACTTTTACACAATGTTCTTTAAAATGGCATTTTATTAAAAAAACAAATCTTGGTTTCTTTATAATCTGCATATTCATACCATTTGTTTCTCCTGATTTTGCTTAATACAATACTCAATCTCTGCTTATGCTAGTTAGTCCATATTTATCTGCTATACATTATGATACTTTTATATTAAATTAAAACATTTTATATTAAAACACTACTATTTATCAGCTATACATTATAATACACTGGTTTCATGTTTAGTTTTTATTGAGTCTTACTTGATCTTTTAGTTCTTATATATGAAACAAATAATAAACAAAAATGTAACCTATAATTCAGTGTAAAATAGATGTTAAAAAATACCTTTATATATAAATATTTTAAATATTTTTATCTTTGCTTTATTATTTTTTTTTCTATCATAAAATGTATTTTTTTATATTTATGACATATATTTATACATTTAAACTTTTTTTAAGAATAGCACATTGTTTTATTATATGCCTTTATATTAAAACATTACATGACATATGTGAGCATTATATATAACCACTTACAAGAAAACTTAGTTAAATTTTATATTAATCCTAAGGTAAAAAGTTAATTAAAAACATATAATAAGCTAATAAAATAATTTTTATTTAAGAGGAAGAGATTAAATTTATTGTGTTCTTGATTCAATAAGCCATCCGTGAAATGTTTCCAGGACTACAAAATAATATATTGCATTTGCAGATAAAAAAGTTAACATTTAAATGATTTTATAAAGTATATTTTATGTTTATATATGTAAAATGATGAACTATTATGCTTTAGGAGATTTTATAGATGACCTGGATTATTTGGAACAATGTGGAGATAAAGACAGTGATGCTGCGGTGATTTATTTTAGTTTAATAAAACATATATATTAACATCATATTTAACTTAATTTTAATTATTTTTTACTTTTTACTCAAGTGTTGATTCAATTGATTTTAATTTTCATTAATTCATTAATAACTTCATTTTTTGATTTTAATGTTCATAAATTTACTTAGCTTAATTTTTAATTTTTTGTGGATATTGACTTGGTGTTTAATGGATTAAACTCTGTGTGAGTTAATTTGTGTAGAACTTTTAATATTTCTTCTGTAATTTAGATGTAGCATAATAAATAATGGTAGTGTTTTTGAGTATTTTTTTTTTTTTTTAGTTGAAAGTTATTTACATTTTATAAAAGAAAATTAAAAAATATATATATATATATATATATATTAGACTTGTTAAAGTGAAGTTATATTGAAAACAAGTTTTAGTTAAAAATTTATTTTTAACAAAAAAGTTTAATGGATTAAGAATAAATGAATCCTAATGGATTACAAATAATTAAATCAATAGGTTAGGAATTTTTGAAATGTTAATTTTTTATTCTGTAAATATTAAATATGACAGAATAAATACTTTATATATTTATTTTGAAGAATACTTTAACAATTCGAAAATAGTGAATTTTTTATTTTTTCTAATTTAATAATATCAAAAATATTGTAATGCAAACTTCAGATTTTGCAATGACAAATACACTTTTTTTTCAAATATTTTGACCATACAATCAATTTTTGTTTCTCTTTTTAATAAATGGAATACTAATCAATCAAAAATCAAAAAATGTGTTTTAATTGATATTTTATAAATTTAATTTTTTCCAAATTGTAAGCTACATATTACTAAATTATTCAATATAATCAAATCAAATTTAAAAAAATAAATAGTAGCTTCCTTAACTGAAGTGGTCCCCTTGGTCTTCAGAGGTGAATATAAAAAAATTTAAAAATCAAAACAGCAGTGTTTTAGAATTTTTAAATATATGAATTTATAATTTCAATTTCAAGGATAAAATTTTCAAGCATTTTCAAATCTACAGAGTTGTATATAATTGTGTAAATCTACTAAATTAAATGATGCGATTATGCACATTAATCAAAACTGTTAAATTACTAAATGAGCTTTTTTGCAAATCGATATAGTATATAGAAATTTAATTATATATCTCCTATTTCAGTATGATGTCATCAATGATGCTTTATGCTAAGCTAAGTATGCTAAAGTATCTAATCATCTGGATGAAAAATGGAAATTTTCAATGTTATTGTTGATAGGTGTAAAATTAATGTAAGGTATTTAGTTATGATTATCCTATTGATCCTGATTATTTCTCTCCTTTCTGACATTATGAAAAACTGTAACAATGATGGAAATTTTTAAAAATAAGGTTGTTGGACAACAGTTAAGAAATGCACAAGCACTTTTTCTATATTGGACACAAAAAAAAGTTTCATTTGATATACTTTTCTCTTAGATGTGTATAAATTTTTTTATTCATATCACAAAATCATTTGTTATAATACAATGATTTATTGCTCATTAGGTTTTTTGAATAACTCATTAGGAGAAATAGAAAATGAACAAGATGATTTTAAAATAAATAAAACATTCACATTTATAAAATGATTTAAAATAAAGTTTCTAACAATATGTTGATAATTTATAAAAAAAATTATGTAATATACAATAACTTATTCCATTTCCATCTAATTATCTAAAACCAATTAACTTCAAAATAATTTTTATGATAACTCATTTAATTGTTATAATTTGATATTAGATTTAAAATATGAATTAATAAATTTGGTCATACAATTCAATAGTTAAAACTGTTATGAAATTAAAAATATATTATGATGTGTGTGTTTTTAAATTATTCTGCCTGTTTTTTAAAATATAAAAAATATTCAAAAATATTTTTGTTACATGTGTTATGTAATCATACATATACATTCAAAAGTTTTAATTCTTTTATTCATTTTTGTGTAGGATCAACGTTCATTTGTGATAAATGTTCTTTTATTGTTGATAAATGTTATCCATTTATTTGTGATAAATATCCATTTATTTGTGATATATGTCAATTTATTTGTGATAAATGTCCATTTATTTGTGATAAATGTCCATTTATTTGTGATAAATGTCCATTTATTTGTGATAAATGTCCATTTATTTGTGATAAATGTCTATTTGTTTGTGATAAATGTCTATTTGTTTGTGATAAATGTCCATTTATTTGTGATGAATGTCCATTTATTTGTGATAAATGTTCATTTATGTGTAATAAATGTCCCCTTATTTGTGATAAATATCAGTTTTTTTGTGGTAAATGTTATTTTTTTTGTGTGTGTGATAAATATTCAGTTTGTTCTGGATAAATATTCAATTTGTTGTTGATAAGTGTTTTTTCATTTAGTATTTTTTTTTTTTTTTCAATCTGGATAACTGTTCTTTTATTTATGTATTTATTTATACTTTGGATTATTACAACACCAACTTCAATTAAATGGTTGAAAAGCCATGATGGGAATCTCTGGTTTTTGTGTATCATTATTTGTTTTGTATTACTTCTTTATCGTAAAATGCTGGGTCCTCTTGAATATTTTCGTCTGCATTGGTATCAAATATGGAACCAAGTTTTTTTTGCACTAAATTAAAATTTGTTATTAAGATTTTATTATAATAATTTTTTACACTATATTTTTCAAAAAAGTAAAAAAAAAAAAAAAAAATATTTGAAAAATTATATGCAAATAAAGTTTTTCTTTTTAACTTGAAACTATGAATAGCACATGGTTTGTGTGAAATTAATTATATTTATATTTTAAATGATTTATTTTGTACTTGGCTAAAGTTTTTTATTTGCATGCCAAATATGTTTTGAAATTATATTGCTATCTTTATTAAGTCATAAATAAAGAAGGATGTAAGTGTGTTTTAAATATTTTTTGAAATTATATTGATATCTTTATTAATGACTACAAGGGTGTATGTGTGTTTTAAAATAACAAAAACCCTGAAAAAATCTAATGGTACTTTAAGTTTATATAAATGATTTACAATTTATTACTCTTTGCTAAATTATTGTAAAGAAATACATACCAATTTTCATGCGTAAATTTGTTATTACTTTATCATAGTTCTCTAGAGATTTTCTTATTTGTCCTGTTAAGCAATATAAACAACCAAGGGTTGCTGCACTTTTAATTTGTCCATTTATGTCACACAGTTCTGTTACTAGTTCCATTCGCTGGTTTTGGCACTCAATTGCTGAGTCAAAATCACAGCAGTCCTCATAAATATTACTCATGTTGCTCAGTATTCGTGCTTTCGAAGCTTTATCGTTCAACTTGTGAAAAAATATATACATAAGTTATTTTATATAAAAATTTTAAACTTGATAAAGTATTTTCAATAAAAATTAAATCAAATATGAAGAAGGGAAATATTAAAAATAAATATGGGAAATATATTTGTTAGTTAGTGATGTTGTTTCTAGAAAGGATAATTGTTAACCTTAGGTTTTGTTAATTTTTTATATGGTTCTTAAAAAGAATAATTATTAATTTTAGTTTTTTTTTTTTTCTTTGGTTTTGTTAATTTTATGTGGTATTGTTGCTTAAGAGGCTTATAAAATTTTAAGGTAGAAATATTCAATGTTATTGTTGATAGGTGTAAAATTAATGTAAGGTGTTTAGTTATGATTATCCAATAAATCTAGATGTTTTCTCTCCTTTCTGAGGTTATGAAAAACTGTAGCAATGTTCAAATGTCAGTTGTTGGACTTTAAAGTTAAAAAAAGACTCCCTGTTCTGTTTTACAAGTTTTCAGATAGTAATGTTATGTTTGCTCTCAACATTACTATCAGTTATCTAAGATATTAAATGACTATTATGCAATAACATGACTATCAAAGTTATGTATTACTTTAATTTTGGTGTTATAATTTGGTGTTAATATTATTGGGTGGTGTTGGTGGTGTGTAAGTGTATGATTTGTGGTGTGTAAGTGTATGATTTGTGGTGTGTAAGTATATGATTTTATTTGAACGAATAATTCAATTTATAATAAACAAAATTCAGATTAAGTAGAGCTTGTTAAACAAAGTTATAAAAAAATGTAAACTTAATTTTACCTCATCAGCTAAGTCTATTGCCTCACGAAATGTCTGCAGTGCCAACTCGTACTCTTTTTTCATATGGTATGTGCAACCCAAATTAATTATAGCAGTTTTTGCTTCATATTTACTCTTATTTCCAAAAGTAATCAAATGTGTTGATTCTTTTGCAATTTGCAAGTGCAAATCAAAACAAATCTCTGCCGCATCATACTTGAACAAACGGAAATATGCAGTGCCGAGATTGTTGTATGCTAGGCATTGTGCAAATTTATTACGAGAGTCTTTCAGTGAATCTTTCAATCCCTGTTGTAACTCTGCTATTTTTTTGTTTACTACCTCATCTCCAAAATTTGGTGTTTCATATAAGTCAGCTTTAGGTTGATTTCTTTTAATAGGCTCTGTTTTTTTTGGAGATGAGTTTTCCATTATTTTGTTTGTTTGTTTGTATTAACAAATAATTTATGTACTGTTGAAGAACTCTAAATAATATCAATTGTTTTTTTATTATTACTTGATGTTCTTTGTTAGCTATAAAATTAGTCTCTTTCATTCAATATTTTTCAATAATATAAGCCTCTTTTATTCAATGTTTAACATTTATAAAGTTGGCAAAGTTTAACTATTTATCTTTCATAAAAAAATCTTCAAGAGTTTAAACCTTATCACAAATGTTCTTTAGTAAATAGAAAATATCAATACATTTGTATAATCAAACACCATAATTTATGCATAAGTGTTTTAGTTTTGTGTATGAGCATCATAATTTATGCATAACTATTGAGTTTAAATTCAATTCATATAAATTTGTTATACTTAAAAGATTACATACATAACATTTGTTTTAACATTATTTTAGTCAAGGCAAGCTGAGTTAGCTCGTAAATCATTGTATGTTCGGTTTGATCCAATGCTACAGTCTGACTCTCCAGGTACTAATTTTTTATTACTTTATTTTGTTATTTTTTATATATATATATAATATAAAAACCTTTACATGTATATATTTTTTATTACATTTTCAGCATAATTTTAAAAAATTTGATGTTACATTTTTAAATTATACATAAAAAATAAAGCTTATATCAGAAATTCTTTTTTTAATTCAATTTTGAAAAAAGTTAGATTTTATATTATAAGGTTATTATAAAGTTTTGTATTTCATAACTTATATTGCATTTTTTTTAATGTTTGTTTTATATTTTTGACGCTTCTATGTTGTAAACTCCTTTTTTACATATAATTTTAAACAGCAACCTTTATACTTTTTTTATATAAATAATATATTTAATAAATTATATAATAAAACTTATTCTTTAAAAATTTTTCGATTAGTTTTTAGGGTTCCTTAAATGATTTTGCTAAATTTATTTTAGGTGCAACACCAGAGAAAGCACCATTGAAGCAAGACTTTCAGGATTTGTCTTCATTCAAGTATTTGACTTACTAAAGATTACATTATATTTAATTTTCGAATGTTTTTTAATACATTTAAAAATTATTTAATAATATAGTTTATGAGTTTTAAAAAAAAATTTAAAACAGTTGATAACTATTATTAGGTTGATACACTTAACAACAAATATTTAATATCTTTAACAGTCATAGTTTGTCTATAAAAAAAATCAGTCTTAAAGAAGACTTTAGATTTGAAAGTTACAAAACAATTATTTCTGTTTTTTGATATCCAAGAGCTCTAAAAATGTAGAGACGCTTTTGGGGACTACTTTTGGGAAAAAATACTAAGAGACTTAGACAAAGAAAAAATACTTAGAGGAACACACTATTTTTGAACCTAGAGTTCTTATGTATAATGGTAATAAGGACACCAGGATTCCAATTAAATAATAATAAATTACAAGTCTTAAATCTCATTAATATTTTTGAAAGTCACTTAAAAATTTTAGAGCTCCTGGGCACCAGAAACCAAGAAAAAATAGTCATTTCAGTTTTTAAAAGACTCTGTATCCCTGAAAAAAATAAAAGTAACAACAATAAAAATAATATTCAAAATAATTAAATCCCCTATAACCAAATGTTACCACGACTATGTAATATTAAATATAGTTAATATGATATATTTGGCTATGTAAATCTTTACTATATATATCTACTTTGCACATACATGTAACTACATCTCTACTTTGTTGATAAATAATTTAGAAAAATAAAAGAAATTTGATTAAGTTATTAAAACAAAATACATTAATATAATTTAAAAATACTGCAAGGTGTTTAAATATAGAATTTTTGCAATAGGAATGATAGTTTGTTTATGTCTGATGCCACTGATGGTCAGGCAACTTCTAGTGTTCTGACACAGAGTGTCTCTGCTCAAAAATCCTATGCTATTTTGTCTACTGATTCGTTTGAGGAATCAAAAAATGCTGTAAGGAATTTTTTTATTTTAATGTTGTTAATCTTAATGCTGAATTTTTTTAATGCTGAAAGGAATTTTTTATTGTGAGTTTTTATCCTAGTACCAAATATAGAGTGTTATTAGTTACTGTATTAGAAATTATTGTAACAATGAATATGTTTATTTCAAAATACAATTTTTGTTTTCAATTTCAATTCATTTTTCTGGTATACTTTAGTAAATTGGATAAAGGAGATAAACTTTTTGTTTAGGTTAGTAAAGTGGATAAGGCAGATAAATCTCTTTCTGGTGCTATTGACCTGGTTGAGGTAGATTTGATTTTTTTATTTTACTGCAATTGTATTAAGTAAAACTCCTACTGTGCATGAAAAATTGGCAAATCATCAACGCTCAATTTGATCTGCGCGACCTTTGACTGGGGCACTATAATTAGAATTTTATCTGAAAAGGTAACTTATAGTTAATTGCCACTACAGTCAAGAGTTAGGAAAGGCCAAAAAAGCTCTGATGATTGACAATTGTTTAGAGCACTGCATCTAGACCTTATTTCAATAAATATATTGATGCATCAGATACTATCAAAAAGGTTCCTAAATAGGGTAATATATATTTTATTGGTTTTTGAAATTCAATTTTGTCACAAATTGAAAAGTCATGTGCTTATTAAAATAATTTCGAGCTTTAAAATTTTGATTTTATAATATATTTTTAGGGTCCCAGCAAAAAAAAAGATATATTTTTTTATAGGGGGAATTCAATTTTTGAAAGTTGAGTTTGAGACCAATTAATAGTAAACTGCAATTGTTTTAATTTTGTTAAATATTTGGCTGCGGCAAAAGAGTAAGCTGTAATTAATACTTCATATTTATGATAAATAAAATTTCAGTCAACCAAAAATGTTTATCTGTAATAATTACTTACATGTTAAATTATTCTTATGTTGCTATTATTTTTTAAATAAATTTGGTGTATTTGTAGGTCCTCCTATTGTGTTTATAGGTATTGTAAATTTTTATTTTAAATTTGATCTAATAAATTAAGTTTAATTTTGATTTATTAATTGATAATAGCTTACATTTTTTTAAATCAATTTTATAGCGAAGCAAACTTGCTAAATCAATTTGTTGATTTCCCCCTTTTTGATGGACTGTTATCTATCAAAATTAAACTCAAGAAGACACCATCTTGTTATTAGTCATAAAAAATTTTTTTTCACCAATTTTTACAAATCTAATAAATTCATCTTTACCTTCAAATACTTTTGCAATTCTACCAAGCTTCTGGTGTATCCAGAGAACACAATGTCATCTGTTTTATTTTGGCATTTTTTATTTTTTTTATTTCATTTAGACCATTTTGATAATTTTTGTTAATTGTTAATTATGTTATTTTGATAATGTTAGCTTCTCTCCATCGTTATCTTCTCTTAAAATGGTGTATTAAAATTGACACTTGGTTTTAACTAAAAATCAAGTGAAAGTCAGGAACAAACTGTCATCCCACTTGCCTAGTTAAAAATGATTAGAAATTAGTGAAATGTCATATTTTATATCTACACTTTGATATGAAAATGATCAAAAATAAAATAATCAAAAATAAAACTTCTTTATCAATTATATTGACTTTTTCATATTGCAGTTCCAAGTATTGCAGCTATTCCATGTTTTGTAACCTTGGCCATTAATTTAAATATACTACCAAGATGAGGTCCTGATGGAGCATTGAAGACTCACTTAATTTTTTTATTACTTGTACAGTTTTATACTAAGTTGTTGAAAACTTTTTTTTTTGTTCAATGTTTTTTGCCAATAAAGTTTGTTTCTATGCCTGTCAAAACTTCAATAGTAACCTTCTGTTTGCATTGAGGAATGAGTTTATATTAAAATTATATAAAATTTTGAGATCTACTGATGATTGCTTGTGACAATTAGATGATTAGATGATTAGAATCTTGAGATTTAATAATGGTTGATTGTCATAATTAATGGTTGATTGTCATAATTAATGGTTGATTGTCATAATTAATGGTTGATTGTCATAATTAATGGTTGATTGTCATAATTAATGGTTGATTGTCATAATTAATGGTTGATTGTCATAATTAGATTATAATTAGATAGTTAAAATCTTAAGATATAATAATACTAATACTAATCTCCTTTTATAATGTTGCTGTATTCATCTCTGAAACCTTCCTGTTGAGCCTTAGCTATAACTTCATTTTTACTCTCAACTTCATCAACTGTTATACAAAAAAAATTTCCAGTAAAAATAATAATAAAATAAAAAGTAAATTTTTTTTTGGAATACATCTTGTTTTAATTCAGTTTTTGTTTTAATTATTCCAAAGCAGTTGGAAACAAATGGTTTTAGTTTTTGACTTTCTAACCCTCCAATTGTTACCATGACAAGAGAATATGTTTCTGCTTTATCAACTAGAGCAAGCTAGAGCAACTGGATATTGTCCAAATTTTATTAAAATTGTCATGATTTCTTGTTGAAGTTTTGGTCTTTAATAAATAACATTGTTAATTGATTTATCATTTTTTTAGTTATATTTGCTTAATTAATTATAGTAGTTTATTACTATCAAGTTTTTCTTATGCAGTGTTTTAAGCAAATGACCAATACTCTAATCCTTTAACTCTTTTAATGCTTCACCTCAGAAATATTTATGTAACTGAAAGTAATTTATATTCGCTGAAATTCGGTCAAAACATGTTAATAAAGCTAAATAACCTTATTTAACTCATTGTTTCCGAGAAGCTAAATAACTTTTTTTTAGTTTAAAGAAACTATCCTCTGCTGCCAATTGCGGTGCAATGGCGTTCAATAAAAATATAAATTATGTATAAGTATTATATTATTTTATGTTATTTAAAAAATGTATATATTGAGGAGAAAATGTAATATGCACAAAATAATTCTGAAAGTGTATCGGGTGGACACGGAAAAATCTGGTCAACTTTAAATTATGGTTTTTCTAGAACCATAAAAGCTTTTTTTTTCAAACTTTTTAAATTAAACGTTATTTCTTTATCTTTAATTGTGGTGGTAAACTTGTTTACAATTCCAATGATTTCCAAAATGTCACAAAAACAA